GTTTGGTGAGATTATTTTGACACTTAATAAATTTTTTTTTTTAAAAAAAGAAAACTCTTTTTGAATATTTAAAAAAAATTCGTTTCTAAATTATATCTTCTTTTTTTTTTATCTTTTTGTAGAAAATAAGTCAATTAGTAAAAGGAAATTATGTGAGAAACTTTTAACTAAAATATGGCTCGCGTAAAAACAATCTCTTACAAAATTTTCACGCACAAATAATACTTATACTACTTAAGTATTTAATGTTTATCTAATTTGCGAATTGCGGTGGGATGATTCTCTCTGTACAGTTAGTTGTACAGAGAAGTTTGGTAACAAGACAATTTGTGAATTCATTCATTTTACGCCCGCGTATTTATAATAGTGCGGATTTATAAATATACATATGTGGGCGCACAGTATGGATTTTTGTATTTCTGAGTTTCTGAATAATTTTTTTTTTTAAAAAAAAAATTATTTTTGAGCGCGCAACGTTTTCAAACAATTAATTAGAATGAAAAGAATCAAAAATATGGGGAATAATAATTAGATTCTTTATTAATGGGAAATGAAATGATTACAATAATTGAAAATGATTAAAATATTTGAAATAATTGGGATAATTGAAATGATTTAATGATTTAAATATTTGAAATAATTGGAATAATTGAAAGAATTTAAATATTGAAATAATTAATAATTTTAATAATTGAAAGAATTTAATTAAAATATTTGAAATAATTAATAATTGAAATCATTGAAATAATTTAATTAAATATTTAAAATAATTAATAATTGAAATCATTGAAATAATTGAAATAATTGAATAAATATTTCACTTAAACGTTATAAGACGCGTAAATCAAGAGAAATTATAGGAGACAAAAATATTGGTCATTTTGATTCTCCCAAAGGAAACGGGGTCAAAAAATTGGGAGAGATGACGTAATCACCTAACGTGACATAAGAACTGACCTAAAAGGGTAAAGCTGGTGAAGATTGAAATTCCATTTAAGGAAAAACCACACCCATACCTGAGAAAAAATTAAAACGGGAAAGTAGCGAGGAATGTACAATACCACAACTCGTTCATTTCCAGTGACGCTTCCAAGACAAATGTTGCGGTGTCAGTGAATAACATAAATTGTCGGTCTGTCCCGTGTGAATAAATCCGCAGCGATGGAATGTTTCAGGTTAAAAAAATAACTACATTACACTAATTTCAAGCTTTTTTCACAGAAGGAAAATAATACGTAAATCGGCTCTACCTAAGGCAAATGATTGTTCAATATAATAAAAGTAACCCTGATTGGTTCATGTTATTGAGTAACCAAAACATGGGTACAAGGAAACCCACTTTTTAAGAGAAATAAAAAAAAACATGGAAAATTCCGTAGCACAACCGTTACCGTTACACGGATTTGAAAGCGTTTTTTTGAATAATTTATGGGGTTTCATTTGTAAATAAAATAAATAAAATTAATCATATGAAATTTTTGATAGAAATCGAATAATTATTATGTAAACAATAATATATTTGAGAGTGATTTACCCAAACATGATCACTACGGTTTGCAAAAAAAGACGAAACAAACGGGATATAATAAGTTATAAATGAAATCTCCGAAATCGGACTAACTTTGATAAAATTTACACTAAGAAGAAAATGGAAATAGAATAAAGAAAATGCGGAATAGTTTTTTTTATGAAAGAACGAAAATAGAATATAAAAAAAGATAAAAAACATTCTTTTTTGTTGTCTGGCCCAATAAAAAAAGATTATTTTATTTAACCAATAAAAAATGTAATAATATATATTATATTTCATAAAAAATATATATATTTTAATACATTAAAGATTTTCGGTTATCTTAAAACGGGATATCCGATTGAAAATATTTGTATCAGTTTCCATTGTAATATTAAAAATATTATTGGGTAATAATTAAACATGAGACAACATATTTTTACCAAAATTATTATAGAATTGCAATCAGATAAGGATGATTTCGTAAATTTCGTAAATCAAACATTACATCACTCTTAACATTAATCTAAGCCTCTAATAGCGTTATCAAGATATATCATGTGTTTTATTTATATAATTTTTAACAAGTTAATTATCTTGTAATCTAAATTATCGCCGAATCAATTCCTCTATTTACTATATTTAGTAATTTTAGAAAGATATTAAAAAATGATTGAATTTTTTTTTATACAAAATAATTTTGATGTAATTTGATGCGGGGATGGTGATTAAAAAAAAAAATAAACATGCGGAAATTTAAATTATTGTTAAAAAAATATAATTATGATTTTGCCGATCTGATTTTACTGATTTTACTGATAATACTGATAGTTTGGTCGGTCAAAGAAATATCGTGAGAATATGATGCAATTCTTTTTCTTTGTGAAATTCGTGTGGAGGTAATTTGTTTCGCGTTAAAAGAATAATTTAAATTTTTATGTTGTATTTTATTAATCGTGTAACATATGATAAAGCAAGATATGATTCATATCTGATATATTTTATGAATTCAAACTAAAATTTTCTTCGGGATTTTTTTTTTTTGTTTCGCCATTTGATCATTTCTATGAAGATTTTAACTAATTTTGTAATGCTGATTTACTTTTTTTACGCCTCAGAGGCAGTGCCAATTTATTAACGGAAAAGAAAATCCATTTTGGGGCATAAGCAAAAAAAACTTCGGTTTTTTTTTATTACACACTTTTTTTACCAATGAGTTCATATTTGATTAATTGAATAAACCTCAACAATCATAAATATCACATCAATAACAAACGGGACAATGTCTTTCTTTCTTTACGTAAATCATTAAAAAAACCATTTCATTATAATATCTCAATATCTCAATATCTCATACGCCATAATACCTAATTGCTTTGTTTCTTTCTTATCTATGTCGGTCTGTGCTTCTTTTTATGTTGTAGAAACATATTTTCCAGAAAAAAGAAAGAGCAGCTGACCTTTGTTTATTGAATCACAACTTGATGCAGTTTTTGAAATTTTTTTTCAAATTTCCATGCCCGATAAGATAAAATTTCCATGTTTAAATAAATGACATCCGATACCCATGAAATAATATTTTCCATTTAAGTAAATCCAAATTATACTTATGCTATTGTAAATACCTTATTAGAGGTTTAGTCGTTTTTTTCAAAACCGAAATTTTAATGATGTACGATGATGGTACGATGATGACAGTCCGTTGTACAAAAAAATGGTTTTTATCTTTTAAATCTAAATAATCTAAAAAATCGAATATTTTATATATTTTTATATAATATATAAACCCCCAAATTAATAAAATCCTTTAACAAGAGGGAAGAATTCTTTTTTTTTCAAAAAAAATAAATACAAACCTAAAATATTCTTAATTTTTTTTTCCTCGTTTTTTCTCATTTTTTTATTTTCTTTCCAGTACTCGTTCTTACCTAATAAGAAAAGGTTTTCTTTTTAAAATTTTATTATCAGGTTAGACCATTATTATTATTATTATTATTATTATAATTTTACACGTATATATATATATTATATATATATTTTTACGTGACGTGTTTTGTTTTTGTTATTCGTAGTATTCAATTTTTAACAATATATTTTGTTTCTTTATAGTCAAAAAATAATTAAATATCATGGAAGCCACACAGAATCGTATTTTTCTTACTGTAAAAGAAACAGCTTTGGATAAAATCGTTACCGTTCCGTTGAATATGTCTAAACCAAACAAAACTCGGGTTGATAATATTTCTCCTCCGACCCCTCCAAGTGATGAGGAAAAACGTTCTGTTAGTTTCGACCCTTCTGTAAAAACCTTGAGTATTCCCAAGGATTTCAGTTACTCGAATGGATTTATTAATTCTCCCTCTGAATCCATTGATATTTCTGTTCGTGATTGTTCTGAAGAAATGCTTGTTTCTTTAAAAGAACGTGATACTGAAATTAAGGATTTGGTCGTTCATAATCAAGAATTTTTCGATACGGTTAAACAAAGTATTTTTGAAGATGATGAAACTTGGGAAAAATTCGAAAAAGTTTTGTATTCTAAACGTGAAGAAATACCGGATTGTGAATGGATGGAATCTATATCCAAATATCTTGCTGATAATCCACAATTATTTACAACTTTTAAACAAATGACTGGTTATTATGAAAGTGATGAGAATGATAGTGATGATATTGATGAAATTCGGGAAGAATATGATGATGATTATGGTTACACATCTGAATCATGCGTGATGCATAATGAATCTTATGTAGATATCACTCCTATACGTTATTATCCACATGCACTGGAGAATTTTGAAAAATCTTACCCACAATTCTTTATTAATGCAAAACAAGAACTTGGTAAATTAGGTAAAGAAAGGTCTCGTAGAGGTAGTACCCTAGGTCGTAATCATTTAAGTAATGATAATCCACTTTTACATCCGAACATTGAAGATCATCAGCCTCTAAATGATTCTTCAGTGACACTTTATGATGAATTAAAACGTGTCCTAGTTATTCCTAGAGATGAAATGGATGATTTTGAATGGGAAACTGCTATAAATGAAATTTTAGATGTTTCGCCACCACTTCTTGAACACTTTTATGAAATTGTTATTGAAGAAATTAATCAAAACATTGGATTATAAAAAAAACATGAAAATTTTAAATTAGAATTTTTTAATTAGTAGTGCATTTATATCACTTTTTATTTTAAAAAGAACATTTTTTTCATTTTATTTTATGCACGCATCAATATAAAAACACATATTATTATATATCAATACACTAAATAATTTTTTGTATAGTTAACTATTATATAAAAAATTCAAATAATTGTAAATTCTCTTTTTAAATAATATTTTTTTTCCCTATTGTAATATTTTTTTAAAAAAGAAAGAAAAAAAAAAAAAAATTTATATTTTTTAAAAAACAATGAAAAGAAAAAAAAAATTTTTTTTTTTTTTTCAAATCTGTATATACAGAAAAAAAAAAGGTATATTTTTATTCAATAAAGAGTTTGCTATACAAAAAAATCAAACCTCAACGAACCGCAATCAGTTTCTATTTTTTTAAGCCCCTTAATTTTATTCCAGAACAAAAACATGATTAGTTTAAACTAAGAAACATGATGTTTTTTTAAAACGCAATCATGTAATTAATTACTAACGAACCGTGACTATTCGGTAAAATTGACCGGATTGGTTAGGATTAACGGGATTGATCATTCGTATAAGTACTAGTCAAATATTGGAATGCATTTCTTATCTTGTACAAAAGATGAACAAATTGTAAAAGAGTTTATCGTTACTTTCGGCATTTTTTTAATATGCGAGGGTTTTTTATTTCAATACATCAAGGTTTACATCTCCGTAAATCTTACAATCGAGTTATACTCTATTTTTTATTTATTTTATTTTAGACTTAACAATAAGAGAGTTTGAATAGGTAAGAATAAAAGTTGAACTTTAAATTTATTATTTCCCCTGTAATATTATTTATTAAAGTAACCTTTTTTATAGATTTCATAGATCTTTGAATACTTGAATACTTTGAATACTTTTGAATACTTTTGAATACTTTTGAATTCAAGGGGGGGGAAACTTTGAATAATTTATTATCAAATCAATCAGCTGATATTTTATGTAAGAAGTTTAGTGTATGGGTAAAATAAAATTTAAAGTTTTTTGGAGTAATGATCTTTTTTAATATATATATAATTGGTTTTATTTTATTTTATTTTATTTTTTTTTTACTATTTTATCATAAACGAAAGAATCAATCAATTATTTGTTTAAATTAAATAATCTGATAATATATATCAAAGATATTTATTTTTTATGCAATTCAATCAAAAATAAAAAGGAAAAAAGGAAAAAAGGAAAAAGGAAAAAGGAAAAATAAAGAAAAGAAAAGAAAGATCCAAAAATCTTTTTTCCAAAAAGATTTTTTACAAATCATAAATTCGTTATAGTCACACTTGTATCACTTTTTTTTGAGAAAAATTAAACGGGTTTCTTAAAAAAAAAAAAAAAAAAATATTAAATTTTTTATTTCAATCAAATAATAATTAGATTGTTTGATGATGTATAATTACGAAATTTACAAAAAGTCTAAAATGTTGTGGTACTCGGTTCTCTTACCATTTTCAACTTAGATCTTACAATGTGGATTAGAAAAAACAAATAGCATTTAACATGATTAAAAAAAATTTTGGGTAACCGGATTAGGTTAATCTGTTTGATATTAGTCCATGGTTATGTTTCAAAATAAATTTGGACTGGTCTAAATCACGTGAATACAATCAATACAATCGATCGTATCTTTACTATGGTGTTACCCAGTGTAATATTGTGAATATTGTTGTGAAAATATTATATTTGTATTACATATTATAACAAGGTGATACAAGTCGAGAATTTTACGTCGCGGAAATGATTTCTCCTGTTTCATATGATACTTATGATACTTATGATACTTAATTACAGTGGTACTAATTTTATATTTCAATATTTATATTTTAGTTATTATATTGCGCATCATATTAAAGGGGTACTTTGTACTGATATTACGGATTAGTCGAATTTTATGATAAGTTTTTTTTTTATTACGCGAAGTAGATCAACTTTATGCAACGATCATCATTTATTCACACGTTGATTCATTCATCCAAAAAGAAAAAAAAACAAACCCCAAATTAATATTAACCCGTAAATTTCATAAGTCCTTATGAATCGCGTAAGAAATTTGTTTGCATTTGAAAAAGAAGCAACAATTCAAACAATACATAGGTAATTATTACCCAATATTCATGTAACGTAAGACCCTTAATCTGAGTAATCTAGATTTGTTATAACATATTTCACTCGCGTTTTAAATCACACGATTAGCAAGTATAAACAAATCTTCGGGGAATCATTTATATAAAAAAGGAATCTTATAACGTTATAGATAATAATAGAACATGATAACAATAACTTAGGTGATAACAAATTAATAATATCATTAATATTATTAATAAAATTGTGCTATATTTAAAACTACATGAATAAAAATATAAAAATTTTAATCAATTTCTTCATCAATATCATGTACGTACATTCCGAATTCTATACTATCTTCCATAACTTTTTTTGCTTCATCTAAAGAAATACCTCCACGATCCTGGGAAATAAGTCTAATTGCAGTTTCAGGAACAAGTACTTGTTGAAGATATTCCACAGGTTCTTGTGGCTTTGTCATGTCCATTGTAAGGATATTTGTATTCATGAGGAGAGAAACAAGAGTAGAAAGTATTTTATATGCTCCTTTAGATCCATAATATCCGGGCTGATCGTGATAATAGACATTAAAAAAACATCGAATAGATAGACAAAGAAATTATGATGAATAAAATTACCTGAAGTTTCTGAAATCTTCCCATCAAAATAGTTGGCTTTCTTGCTCGTGCTCTACCATATTTCCGATATGCATTTAATGCAATATTCCTGTATGAACTATTTATTTCCCCTTTTATCACCAACATCAATTCCGGAATCAACTTCTTTACTCGTTTGGGAAGAATATCGAAATTAATATTAATTGGATAGTTTTTTTTGAGACCTTCTGGAACGATGAGAGCTTCTGACTCATGTAATCGACAAAACTCAAATTCTTCTACTACGTTTCTCGGACGTTGAAGAAGTATCGATAGTGATGGTGTCTGTTCCTTATTAGACCATTTATCTTGGGTCAAAGAATTTATCTTAATCAAATAAGTTCGGATACGATCTGGTAGTGGAAATGGAATTGGTTCTTTGCAGAAAGGACAAAGTTTATATTCTGCGAAATCCGAAAAAAAATTTTATTAGCTAAAGAATTTCATAAAAAACGCATCTCATTGGCGAAATATACCTTCGCTTTTTCTCCAAGAATTATTTTGTATCGGTAAAATTTCTTCTTCTATAGATAAAAAGTCCATTTCTGGTAAATTTTCATATTTATTTCTTATGGGCGAGGGGGCTCTAAATCGATCAATAAATGCTTCGGTCTCATCATGGCTTGTATTTGATGAACCATTATTTTTTTCATCATCCGAAATTGATATGGGATCATAGACATTTGAAATTTGACGAGATGAAGGATCATGTAATCCTTTCTTCTTATTCCAAGAAGTTTTCTCGTCACGTTTCTTGCCAGGGTCATAAAAGTTATTAATACGAGATGATTGAACATCCTTTGTTCTTAATTCGGCCTTAGATGATTCGGTATCATTTGATTTAGTGAGTGATAGACGGTTGGAATTTTTTCTATTTGATCTTGTATTGGATCGTTCATCATCATCATCATCGTCAACATTATCAGTAATCACGATTATGGGTTTAACTGCACATATTTCCCAGGTATTTATCGGTGATTCTGTAAATTGCGAGATCGATTGTGATATTTCCATCGGTTGTGTTTTGGGTTCGCTCTTCGAAGTTGATTTAAAAGAAGGCATTTGAAATATTTCCGATCTATGTGATGAGGCTTGTCCAAAGGATCTATTAGGAGAAGATTTTTGATTTCTTGTATCAATTGGTCGAATTTGAGATTCTCGATTTTTTTTTCCCAATGATCGTTTAGACGAAGACCTTTTAAATCGTTCTGGGGAAGGATCTTTCTTTTTATTATTTTTAGCATTTTTAGCATTTTTACCATGAATAGATTTATTAAAAAATAAATCCAATTCATCATTAGAATTTGATAAATCATATTCTTCGGCGAGTTTAATTTTCTTATGTGATTTATTATATGATAAGGGAAATGCAGAAATATGTTCGGTAGTAGTGGTACTATTCTCGGGAATATGATCTAAATTATTTCTTCTTTTAGTTCCGAACTTTTTGCTTTCAACAAGAGGTTTCTTATCAACTTTTTTCGAGAGCATTATTAAAACAAATGAAAGTAAGTGGAAATAAATAAAAGAAATTGATTAGAACCGTTACGTATATTAGAGTAAAAGTTTGCTCTACATATATATATAGATACGTGTCGTGGGCTGTGTGGGCTATGTGTGTGGCTGTTTGTTATGACGCGCTCTTATTGGATCATGACCAAGTCTTAGCTATTTAAAAAGTGAAAATTGCCTTCAAATTGTCTCCTCTTTTCACGTGTAAAAGGATCATTAAACCGTTTAAAAAGCGCCAATCAAAGCTTTAAGCAAGCCATAGTACGCGTTTTTGTATTGATTTTTTTTTAAGCAAATTTGTCATTATTTTTACGCGTTTATCTTTCCTTTATTATTTTAATTGTATTAGATTTATTTATTCCTTCAAAAATTAGCACAAGAAGCCAATTCTTCTGAAGCAGAAACCGAAAAAACAAATGTAATTGAAAGAAAACAACTTCGGAGAAAATTTTACAAGAAATTCAAGGAAATTAATAAATACTAGGAAAAGAAATTGTTTTCTAATCTAGAAATCACAGCTGTAGATTATATATAACGTATAAAAATTTTTTCTCAAATAATAATTATTTCTTAAATGCCAGGTTTAACAACTCCTTCATCGGTAAATTCTTTTTCATGGTCGCCCTATAATTTCTCTTAAACCATTTTGAGAATCATTGATATTTCTTTCTAAATATTTTTTAGATTTTTCCAAAGTAACAAGATCATTTGCAGCTTTTTCAGCTTTATCATCCATTTCTTTGTTTAAAACCGACAAATCAGCTTTAATAAACCTAAAAAAAAAAAGGAATGTTTTTTTTTATTTTAATATATATTATAAAAAAAAAAGGAGATGTTCACATTTATGCATACGCTTTTCCAACTGATTTGTAAGTTTTGGTATCCTTATCAAGAGCTGACAATTCTCTCTTGGTAAGCTCAGCTAAACGCTTTTCACGTTCTTTTACTTGTATTTGGGCTTGTACGGTGACTAGCTGCCGATTATTTTCAACAAGTCTATTTTGAAGTTCTATTAAAATCTATTAAAATAATTTATTTATAAAGTTAGAGAAGTTGTAATATAAAAACAACGTTTTTAAAAAATATTTATTACTTTGCGCAGAGCTTCGTCAGAAATCGACATTGTTGCTAGTTCTAAATAGAAAGAAAGAAAACCAGCATTAATATATTTCAAAAATTTCAAAAATGATCATTAATCATCACGTGATATGAGCTGCGGTATTGATTTTTGATATTTTTTTACCGCGTTTCTTGCGTTTCTTTAGGGGGTTTGTTAACTCACTTTAGTTAGTATTATTTATTATGTATTATGCATTTATACGGTTATAACGCTTGTTGTAGTACTACACAAAGTTAGTACAGAAATAAAATAAATTTCTCACGTTTCTTACGTTTCTTATGTAAACAGTTGTGGATGTTAAATTCAAATCTTCCAATACACAATGTCAACTAACAATGATCAAAAATCGAAAAATGATCAATCAAAGTTACAGGTATATATGTAAAATTAAATATTTAAAAGTTATAAAAACGCGTCGGGTTCACTTTAATTTTCGTTTCGCGTTTTGCATATCTTTATTTCCAATTATAAAGGAATTACAGACTCTTCGTACGCTTCGAGCAAGCTTAACAAGCGTTGATATTTTCACAAAAAAGGTTTTACAGGATTTAGAAATAATGGCTAGGAATTATGAAGCTATCTCAGGTGATTCATTTATATTTTATATTAAAAATGAATTCATTATTTTTTAGTGTCTGATAAATTTGTCTTCAATTTTATTTTGTAAAACAATTGATATATAGTGATTTGTGAAGGATGGAAAAATGAATTAGAAAAAGATCAATTTAATCCGAACACAGCATTAGAGAAAATGAAATGAAATAAACATTATTTAATTTCATTACATCGAATATGCCATAAATATGGATTAAAACTTATCGATTAAAATAATTTTTGTTTTACATTATATTTTTTTTTGTTAATCAATATTTAAAAAATAATTGTTTAAACTCGCAATTACATCCTTATTATAATAGTCAGAACTTTTGGGATTACAAAACTTCAGCATACAACAAAGGATTCTTTGAAAGCTCACTAAGTAACTTGTTTAATAATTCGTGTTAAAAAGAATTATAATTGTTATCCTATAAAACAGTCGTATTTATTTATATCTGTTGCATACAAGTCATATAACTTACAATAATTTTATAACTTCATTAGAGACGAATGTATTTTGAAATTCATCAAATAATTGTGTCATTCCTTCGTAATCCTAAATAAGCATGAACATAGAAAGTAATACTTTATGTGTTCTTCGAAAATTAGAATCTAAGATGATCAAGGATACGGTTTGTATAATTGATTAATTAAGTGCATGTCTTATTGTTGATATAAACATATTTAAAACAAAAGAAGATTGTAAAATCCGATTCGCATTCTATAAGAAAACAAGAAATTTTTAGTACATTTATAGTTGATTTATGTGATTTATGATTAAGAAAATAGTTTCACGAATATATGGTAAAAGCAAAATACCGTATTATGGTTTCGACCAGTAAGTCTCAAGAAGAAGAGACCACCTAAGAAGTGACGTTCGTGATCAAGATAAATTTATTTATTTTATGCTTAGTAAGGAGGATTACAATGATACACACAAAAGGCTATTCAGAAGAATATAAGAGGTTGACACTATAAAACTTCGCCCAAATACAAGATAAACAACTTGAATCGATGTAGAATTTATAATTGACGCGTCTTATCACCATGAATTTTTTATTACTAAACTACAGTACAAATTTTACAATTACAAATATGTATTGGGAGTTTTCGCTATGTTCTTTAAAGAAACGGTTATCACTTATAAACACCACGTTTCGTTTCTTCTATTTTTTTTTCGGGATGGCTTTTGTGACAACCTGGAAAGCCGAAAAACCCTCAGAAATATACAAATTTTTATATAAAAAATTGATTGGTATAATTAATGACACACTCGATTAAAGGACACTAGAACAATATAATATAAGCTAATACTAATAATTAGATCTTTTTTGTCTAAAATTATTATTTCGAGTATTTCGACTACTACTTTTTTTTTTTCTTTCTTCAACAACGACGGTTCCTAAATCTGGAATATCGATTTCTTTTTGCATAAGAGCCTGTTGGTAAGCTTCTTCGGTTTCAAATTCCACAAATGCGCATGACTTAATAAAAAAAAATTTTTCAATAATAAAATTAATAAATAAACATTTCAAATATTAAAAATATTCATTCTATTATTACTTTTGCTATAACAACATCCAAATTTCTAACAGCTCCAAATTTTGTAAATGCTTTAGTAAGTACTTGTCTATTCATCCCATTAACAACTCCTTTCATATACAGAGAGTAGTAACCTAAAGACAATATAAATAATATAAATAATAAATATGTATATTAAAGTATACAGGTGTAATATATTTTAAATTACCCTTATCATTATCATCATTACGTGTTATCGGTGTCGGAACTTTAGGTGATTCAGATAAATAATTTTTGGTCGCTAAAGGTATACAATAATTTTTTGTAAATTGCAATATGCAAAGGGAAAAACTATGATACTAAAAAAATTACTGTTCTTTACCCCTATATTTCGATTTTCTTTCTTCGACAATGACAGTTCCTAAATTTGGAATATCGATTTCCTTCCGCATAAGAGCCTGTTGGTAAGCTTCTTCGGTTTCAAATTCCACAAATGCGCATGACTTAATGATTGATAAATTATTTTATTTTTTAATAAAATTAGCATAATTACAAACTTCGACATCACATGTCTATTACTTTTGCTATAACAACATCTAAATTTTTCACAGGTCCAAACGTTGTAAATGCATTAGTAAGAGTAGTTCTATTCATTCCATTGACAACTCCTTTAATATAGAGTGAGAACTCTAAAGAATAAGGTATAATTTATAAATAAATACGCTTATTGAATATATAAATATTAATCATATCAGTACTTTTTTCGTGATTTTTATCGACTTTCTCCATTTCCAGTAGAACCATTTGTCCGGAAAAAAAAAAATCTGGATGAAATTTATAAATTCCGATATCATGGCGTAGTAATGAAGATCCTTTCAATATCCTTATCTGTTATCGTTGCACAAAGGATGTAGCAATGAAAGACGTAAAACTAAAGCTGAATTTTCATCATCTGATATTGTATCTGCTCCTTTTTCGGAGCCAGTTTAACTTGATAATATGTTGGCTAATTTCAGTCAATAATTAATTTGATATTTTTTTTAACGATGAAGATTAATAGATTACGTCTACTAGGTTTTTGATTCATTCGGTAGTAAACAACTAAATAAAATCTACGGTATTGTTCTGGCGTAACATGTACTTCAAGTTGATGACAAAATATATTTTTATATAAAATTTACGAAATCCGAAAATTTTATTGATATTTTATAGAAATACACATTCATGAAGAAAAAATTTTTTATTCGTGGTTTTTTTGTTGTATTTCTACATATTAATTTGTTATGAAAAAAAAAAAAATAAATAAATATGATGCGATAACTGCCAAACCTAAATGACCTTATTCGACTCACGCGTTGCTAAATGAACAGCTGCAGTTCGAACTTTCGGATCATAATGTTTCTAAAGTAAAAGGTGAAACGTGTCACAACGCAATATGATTGAAAACTCTTAATGAAATCCGAATATAGAATCGTACCTGTAATAAATCCAATTCCCATAAGCTTGTTGCGAAGGGATTACATAGTTCAGGATCATTTAACTCAGGTCGGTATATTCCATTAGCAGCTTTATCGTCTGATGCTAGAAGAGCATCTAATCGGGATTGGTTCTATTTAAGTCAAGAAACAATTTATATTATAAATACACTTCGCGTAAACAAAACAGAATTATAATTTACTTATTGGGAGAGTATATCGGTCCTGTGAACGATATAGTTTCTCATCCAACAACGGATAAACCATTTCTTTAAATACTATTTACCTGAATCATTTTTTCCATCTTGTTTAAACATATCAAAACTGTTTTACTTGGCCAATTCATACAAGCAATTGATAAACGTTTCAAAAATGCTGCTGATCTATCAATTGGAATCTATTTTAGAGATAATAAATGAATAAACTTATAATGTTATTTGTTTGTAAAAATATGTTTAAAATCACTGTTACAAATGAATCTAGATAAAATAACAACCTGTCTTCGCTTGAAAAACATAAAATCAAATCCTTTAATTAGCAGCTCTTGTTCAGTTGCTACATGAGTAGCATTACTAATTTTACCCTCGTCATCTTTTAATTTTTCACAGTATTCATTTCTCTCAATATATGGATTCAAAGCGAGAGGTAATAAAACTGTATACATTTGTGTATAAAAATCCTTAAGGTCAATGCTAAGCGCTTCGCCTATTAGAAGAAGATATGTAAGTCAGTATCACTTAAGTGAATTTTTTAAAAATAAAATAAAATTTACCTTGTCCAGAAAGTAATTGAAATGCAGTAATAATACATAATAAACTTCTTCGTGTATTTATTTGGTGATTGAAATTTATTGCATTTCCATTTCTTTCTTCCAAATCTGATTCTTCAAACTTTGTATCATCAATCATAATCTCCTTAAGCAATTCTAACAAATCATTAAAGAAATCAACATTGATAAGATGGGCGAATCTGCAAATGTTTAATAACTTAATACTTGTACATCATTAATTGCAATTTTTAAAAGAATATCGAATTACACACTTGGCCAAACCTTCCAATACGGAAAGAAGCAATGGTGATTTATTGGCATGTTTTAAAATACGAAAATATGCTATAAATATCAGTTTTAACGTTTCTGTATGCTTTTAAAAAAAGTATTAGTTTCATACTTTATGAGAACAAGAAACCTTTTTTTTAGATTTTTTTTCCCAAAATACTTACTGTTTTCTCTTTTTCTTCTTTATCTACTACTGCTTCAGCTTCTTTCATATCCCTTTCAACTTCTTTTCTTTCCTTATCTAACTTTTTCATTTTCCTTGATAGATGTTTTTTAGGTACTTGTTTTTCAAATTTTCTCTTTTTACCTTTTGTATTTTTAACTTCATCCTCGTAAGAAGTTTTCGTATTAAGTTCATCTTTTAACCGAAGATGTAAGAATGTATTAAGAACCTCTTCATGAACCAAATATTTTCTGGATTTGATCATCTTTGTAATTAATTTTACAGCATCTAAACTTGCTTCTCCAGATTCATCATTTTTAAATACTTCAATAATTGCATCACAACACATTGCAGACATCTATTTTAATAAAAACGATTTATAAATAAAAAGTGTATGTCAAATGTATAACATCTAAATAAAAAGGCCAACCTTTGTGAATTTGCGTGTACTCATTCTTGTGACAATGGTTTTCATCAAGTTCAATCGAAAATTGAAATGTGTAATAGAAGTTAAAAGATTACACATACACTGCAATGCTTCTTCTGCGGTACATTTCTCTTTTGCTACATCTATATTTTCGTTTTTGTTCAAGAGAATTTTTTTCAACTAAATAGTTAATCATATTAAGTTACAAAAGTCATTGTAAAAAAATTCACCTTTTAATTCGTTTTCAAGAGACTGTAAATAAGATTGATAATTAGCCAACAAGCTTTGTTCGAAATTCCGTATTTTATTAACTTCCTTGGATACCTTTAATTTATATTATTAATTTACTTAGTAAAATGTTAAAAATATCAAAAAATTCATTTGTAATTCTCACCTTTGCCGATTTTTCTTTATCTGACAAATTTCGTATCCGATATCCAGGTATTATATCCTTATATACCACAAGTTGAGTTAATAGAGCCAACTTTTTTACCATCAAATTCTCATCAGTAGCTATTTCTCGTAAGACTTTAAGTTGTCCGATCTGAAAATAAATAATCCTTTAGTTTATAGTCTTGTTTAAGCATGATAAAATATTGAAATATTACGTTTTTTTCCGGATCTTCGATTATAAGTTGAGCTATTTCCGCCAATTGCACTTTTTTTTTATTGATATATTCCTCATTTGTAATATTTGTGTCTGACGCATGATCTGAAGCTTGTAACTCTTTATCATTATTAGCAAGCTCACTCTGTTCTTTGTCACTAATTGAAGTTTCTTCTTCTTGATCTATGTCCATAGAAGAATCCTCTTCCACATCATCATCTTTTCCGACTTCTACTAAAAGAATATTAGCTATATCCTCCTAAAGTATATAAAATAATAGGAAAATTTAAACTTATAACCATTACTTTCATTACAAGTGCTTACCATTTACGAATTCTCGCTGTTTGATTTTTCCATCAGGAAACTTAATTGGCAGCTTGGTTTGTTCTTTTTGTATCCAAGCTTTATTTGAACGTGGAATTTTTTCATACTCTTGTTCTGTATCCGAGTTTGAAGAGATATACATTTTTTCTTGATCTAATTCATCCTCAGAAGAAGTAGTCGACGATGATATAGACTCTTTATCATTTTTCATGGATTTGACAGGTGGCTTTTTGATATTGACTGTTTTAGTCCTAAATCACATTAAATGTTAACATTTGAACGAATAATTATTTTAACGAATAAATCGAAAATTTAATAAACTACTTGTGAATTGCCACTTTATCAAGATTTTTCAAAAATCCCGTAAATTGATCATGTTCTTTAAAGAATTCTATATCATCTTCAGATAATTCGATTTCATCTTCATTAATTCCATCAACAATTGGTAAAATTTTTGGGACGTTCGCCTATATAAAGAAATAATTGTATTAATGTGCGTGTGTGTAAATATTGAACAAAGCTACCAACAAGTAAAATTATGAAAACCTTGCTTTTTTGTTTTCCTGTCTTATTTTTGGAAATTTTTGTGGATGTTTTTGATATAGCTTTAATAGATTTAGTTGATACTGTTTTTTTCGGTTTTCTGCTAGTTTTGTTAGTCATAATTTATTTTAAGAAAATTTTATAGATCGAAAAAATTTTATCATCTGAAATTGATTTGATCAAAAAAATTGGGCCTGATTTGGCGTCCCTAAATTTTACATTAAAATTTAGATGTAAATCAACTTTATATGATTTACTGAAAAAGAATAAATAACGCTTAAGATATATATCATGGTTAGGTCTATACATTATTATTATCAAAAACAGGGAATATAGGGAATTATAAGCGTATGTTTTGTATATTTAAAGGAGTTGATTTTACTTTATCACATATATGGAGAGATAATTGGGGAGACAAATATTTTTTGCTACATCAAAAAGCATTATATCAATTACCATCAAAACTAAGTAGCCAGAACTTCCTCAAAATGCTTTTCAATTCGTAAATATTTTTGGTATTAGTTGGTGTTAGACTACTACAAGCAAATTAGTTTTTTTCTCACAACATCGTTGATGGAACGGGAAAAGAAAGCAAAGAACTCGAAAGAAATAGAAGAAAAACAGCCAGAGGTAAACTATTTGGTTATCCAACAAATTATATTCAAATGAGGAGCAAAAAGAAACTTAAATCTTATACTGATTAAAAAAAGAATTAATATCAATTATAAATAATTTAAATATATCTGATATTGATGAAATTGGAAGAAAATTAATGCAATTAGAAAATAATAATCGTATTGGTTCAATTTGATTATTTTATTTATTTCTTTATATTTTTATTTTCTTTCTTTTAATTTTTTATATATTTATTTCTTTTATTTTTTATTTTCTTTTACTGTATTTTGCCATGCAATGTCGTAAGAATAATTACAATTTGAAGGATTTGAAGTAGTTATTCCTCCACAGAATGCCAGATTACATCTGAAGAAGCTAGTCCTTCACAGAGAAGTAATTAGATTATATTTGTAAAAACTAGAAATTCCTCCTAAGCAAATTGATTTGAATAATTTATAGATGCGTATGTATAGTGCAAACAAGAATTTATTATTTTATCATTCAGAAGATTGGAATTCTTTCCAATCAAGTATTCTTTCTTTCCATTCTACCCCAAAAAATATTATATTCAGTAAATAAAATTATTTAATTATTTAACAATCATGAATAAAAAACTAATAATTACCAGGTATAGGTGCTTGACATGAATCAGTTTTACCAAAATTTTGATATCTATTTCTTGCCCACCAGTCATAAACTCCATCTCTAAATGTTTTAGGAAAAATTTTAAATATATAAGTAATTGGCCAAGGGTAATCTAAATATCTAACTAATTCTAATGATGCATCAGATTTCATAAGTAATTCTGGTTGCGGTAAAAGAGATAATTCAGTGTTAATAATTTCGTCTGTAGAATAATCTTTATTTTTGTCAAGTACAGGAGATAGATTTCTGTCGTTAAATTTTAAAAAATCATCTGAAATATGGTATCTTAATAGAACGGAAGTTGATAAATCATTAGGCAATTTATAATAATTTGTTAAGTATGAACCTAATTTCGATTGAAGTGAAGCATAATGAATTATTGGTGGTTTATTGTTTCGTTTCATAGAAAATTGTACGCTTGAATTACATATGTTACAAACACCTTTGATATCATCACCGGAAAAAAAAATAGAAGATATATTTGAAGTCAATAAAATAATAATCAAAATATGAGAAGAATTAAAGAAATATCCAATTCGGAAAGGATTTGTTCTTACCATCATAAAGAACTATGATGTTTAATCCAGGTTTTAATTTTAATGCACTAACAATCCTCATTTTAATTGATTTTTCGTTTAATTATTTTTTTTTACCAAAACACGTCGATGTAGGAAATTGAATTCAAAGATTTTTTATAAGATTCACGATAAAAAAAATTCTTCCTCTTGTACCTAAAAAGAAATGATAATAATAAATTCTGTAAAAAGAGCATTAACATATATAATTAATTAGTATTTCAAAAATGATTTTTATCTTTTTAAAAAAAGTGTAGGAAAAAAAATCAGATTTGACAAAATTTAGGTAGCTGTCTTGATTTCATCATTTTTTACAGACAAATGCCTTAATCATCATTTTTTGAAATGTTTCTATTTTTTTTTTAATAAAAGTAAAATTTGTTGCTTAACTTACCCGGAAGTAATATTGAAAAAAAATTTTTTTTCTGCGTAGGATTTACGTTTATTCTTAAATAAATCACGTGAAGAACACCAAAAGCCGGCTGGTGATTTAATATAGTATAGTGGTAGCTTTATAAGTGTTTATGTATATAAATATAAATAATTAAAGAAATGAAATTATTTTCGGCACGTTTAATAAAACATAATGTACATTTTACAAGACCTATACTGCCTCGCGTGTTTTACTTTTCTTCGTCCACCACAATTACCGTACCAGAAATTTCAGTAGACTATTTAATAATAGGAGGAGGAGTCGTAGGATTATCAATAGCCGAAAGATTATCAAGACGCAAGGGAAAATCTGTATTATTAGTTGAAAAGAACTCAAGATTAGGTGAAGAAACAAGGTAATTAATATCTTACCTTTCTTTGACACCTGTTTTTTTTCTTCAAATATTTATTTTCCTCATTTTTATCTCCTTATGCCTCATTAAATTCAAGTTCAAGGAATAGCGAAGTAATTCACGCAGGAATATACTATCCAAATGATTCCTTAAAAACAAGATTATGCATTCGAGGAAAAAATTTATTATATTCGCTTCTTTCTTCTGTATCCTCAATTCCTTTTTCACGAGTTGGAAAATGGATAGTAGCACAAGATAATGAAGCAGAAATTTCTTATTTACAAAATCTTCATAACAAATCAAAAGAAATACAAGTAGAAACGTATTTTCTTCCACAAACAAAAATTAATTTAATAGAACCTTATATTAATGCAAAAGAAGTTTTAGTTTCACCCACAACAGGGATATTGGATTCTCATAGTTTAATGAATTATTTTGAATGTAAACTTAAAGATCAAGGAGGCGATATAGCCTTAAAACATAAAGTCGGTAATATAATTAGATCACCACAAGGAAAAGGTTATTTTATTCAGATTGAAAATGACAAATCATCTTTATTTACAATATATTCTAAGAATGTTATTAATTCAGCTGGTTTATTTAGTGATAAAATTGCGAATTATTTATTACCACCAGCTCATCATTATAAACTTTATTATGTCAAGGGTCATTATTTTGGTTACAGGGGGGTTGTAAAAACAAATCATTTAATTTATCCAGTGCCTCCAAAAAATTTAGTAAATGTAGGTACTCATTTAACTCTAGATTTATCTGGCAGAATAAGATTTGGTCCCGATGTGTTATATCAGGATGATCCAGATGATTATTCATTGAATGATGATAGAATTGATTCATTTGCTGATGCTGTAAAAACTTACATACCATCTATTAAAAAAGAGAATTTATATCCGGATTACACAGGAATAAGGTAATTAAAGTGAAAATGAATTTTTTTCAAAATTTCAAATATTAAATTATTATCTTAATTTAGACCCAAATTGCAAGGACCTGGAGAACCTTTTAGAGATTTTATCATAAAGGAAGAAATTGATCATGGTTTAGAAGGGTTTGTTAATCTGATAGGGATTGAAAGTCCTGGTTTAACTTCATCATTATCAATTGCCGAAATGGTTGATGAAATATTATTAGATAAATAGTAATAATGTTTGTTTAGGAAATACATAAAAGGATAATTTAAAAATTATTTTATTTTAAATTTTTATTTACAATTTCCCTAAAAATATATTAAATAACTAAAAAATGCTATTACAATTAATTTTATAGTAAATAATAATAAATTTTATATTTATTACCTTCAATTACATAAAGTGAAAAAAAAGCTCGGCAAATTTTTCTTGATCTTTATATCGCAAACACGATCTTCTATTCGTTCAACTCGTTCATTTTCGTACATTTATGGAATTTGTAATTTTAGGACATTATCTGAAAATAACAATAAAAAATTAACTTAATAAATTAGAAAATTAGTTTAAAATAAATTTAATAATTTACCTTTATTGTGTACAGTATATACAAAAGCAGCAATAACATCAACTTCTTTGACAGGTTGTGAAGTGTAATGTCTAGAAACTGCTGTAACTAGTTCTTCTTTAGTGGCATAATCTTTAACTTTTAATTTGTGAATTCTTTTATATCTACGTAATACTGAAATATCGAGTGTATTAAAATCTAACTGTTAATATTCAAGAAAAAAAAAGAGTCAGTAATCTCAAATGTAAAACATTCCTAAGTAAACGTATTAAAAAACTTACTGTCGGTATTTCTTTTCCAACAAGTTCTTTTCCTTTATTAAGCCGTTTTGCATGAGTTTCTCCCGTTATATTTGTATTATTATGATGTTTGGAAGAAGAAGCAGTTACTGTTGAACTACTTTCTCCTCCTCTACTTCCCCCTCCGCTCCCGCTATTTCCTCCTGCTCCACTGCCATGATTTCCTCCTCCACTACTTGTCGATGTAGAAGTTGAAGCGTGATGTGAAGGTGTAGCCGTAGTCGAACCTTTAGCCTTTGAAGTTGCCATTTATAATATAGATAAAATCAGATTGTTTACCCGTTTGCATTATTTATATCTTTTTTATGTTACATAAATCATGTGAGTCGAATACGATTAGCACAAAAAAAAAATACATTTAATTACATTTAGAAATTCTTTATACAACTTTATTCATTCTTATGCTTAATTATGCTTATTATATAAAATTTTTATATACTTTATTTATTCTTATGCTTAATTTACTTAATGCTTATATATATATATATATATTTCCTTATTTACAAAAAATTTAAAAAATGCAGAAAAAAATGCCAACTTTGTCTATTTAAAATAATAAAAATAATAATAAAAAAAAAAAAAAATCTAAAAAAAAAATGATGATTAAAAATCCAAATTAAAATCCTCCGAAATTCCCATAGCTTCAGATAATGTCATATTTAAAGAAGAATGAGAATTATTTTTAAAATCGTCCATAAATGTAGTGTCAAAAAATTCTAATTCATTTGGTTCTAATGTATAATTTTCCGATTGATTTAACCAATTTGTTAACAAAAAATTATTTCCGTTTTGATAATCTTCTTTTGGAAGATAAAAATTGGAATTAAGATATTCTTGAAAATGAATGGGTAAATATGAGTCAACTAAATAATTGTCAGTTATTTGAACGCCATCAATATTGTTATCAATAAATTGTTGTGGTTGAAATACAAAACTTTTTTCTGAAGTATTACTATCAGATTCTGATAAATTTGGCGAAGAAGATGATGATATCGGAGTTGTAATTGGAGGAGCTATTATCGCTGTTGATTCTTGTGATTCTTGCGCAGAAATAATTTCGTATGGTTTATTTTCGGGTGAATTAATTTTATTTACATTGTTTGATGATTTATCATGAAAAGAAACAAGATTCCATTTTTCTTTTCGTTTTCTTTGATTTGTTTTCTTTGGAAACATTTCTTTGACTAATTTATGAGCATCTTTAGCAATTTTTTTATATTCTTCTTTAACCATTTCATTTTCTCGTTCCCAACGTGCGGAAGCCATTGATGAGATTGCAGTCATTGGCAAAATATATCCTTGTTCTCGTGCTGCTTTAACAAATGCTTTACGATAAATAATAAAAGCATTCGGTGCTCGAGATTGTTTACCATTTGGTTGGGGAAATTTCTTGTTAACAATTAAGTCTTTTGGTTCAATTGTTGGAGGAAATGGCAAACTAATCTCATTACCAATCATGTGATTAGCTGATGATGTCAAGTATTGTTGGGTTAATTCGTTAATATCGATCGGAAGTGAATCTGGGCTAGAGATTGCGATTGTTTCTTGAAATTGTTCGCTCATTATTCAAATTTTTTATTTAAAAAAGTTAACTTTCGCTTTTATAAAGGTTAATTTGCTATAAAAAATTTATTTTTTTTTAAAAAAAATATTTCTTTTTCGTTTTTATTTTTTTTTTTTTGATGAAAAACTGGCCCTATTTATTTTTTTTCATCGTCCAAATTAGGAAATTCTCCTGCATAAATGGTTTTTCCTGTGGCGATATTGTTATTTTTATTTTTGGAAATCGGAAGGTTTCATGGGATTATAAATTTGGATAAGATCGACGTTAAGCCAAGAGGAAAATCAGCCAAGAAATGTTAAAAATAGAATTAATATGAAATTCGAACGATCTTGTGGTGTATCCTTTTTATTTTTTCTTAGAAAAGTTAAACCAATCTAGAAAATTTATATGTCGTGGCAATGTGCTAAATAAAAAGACTGTAAAAGAATTAGCATATAATAAAAAAAAAATTATGCTTAATAATGCCAATGGTTTCTAGAATAAAATCTTTTTTTTCCAAAACGTTTCCATCTTGGTAGAAGATTCTATCCGAAAAAAATAAAAATAAAAATAAAAAATAATAATGAGGAAATAACCAATTACGCGCTTCATAAAAGGTTTCATAATTTTTATTTGAAAAAAAATTTATTTTTAATTTATTATATATCTTACAATTGAATTAATTATCATTGTCATAAAAAAAAAAAACGGCAGCAAGTCATGTGCCTTACTTACTACGTACTACGTAGTAAACGCGAATTTATTACAATGAGATTATATGTCGTAACTTTTTGGAACTAAAATCTTTTTCAAGCAATGACACATTATATCTCATCGGAATTTTTACCAAATACGTCAAATGTTTAAAAATTTATTTAAACCTTGAAAAGCTAAATATATCGTTCTGTATCTAGGTGTAAAAACAAAACCTTACAAATCTTTCTTTCCGGAATCCACCACCAAAATCGCGAGACTCGGATAATTTACTATCCGATCCGGATAAATTGTCTCCCGATTACTTCATCATGCAAGGTTATTTATCAACGGGTTATTCGGCTAATCAATATCCGCTAAATTTAGGAATTTCCATGGAATACCATGGAACGCATAGATTAACAAAATAACCAACCAAATTAAGGGTGTATTTTACTAATATGTTTCGGATTTACTTTTAAGCGCAGGCAAAGTACATTCGAGACTGCGTGGAAAGGAAATGAGAAAAAAATGGCAAATCCGAACCGCCGAATTATTAATAAAGATAATTGAATTATAAAGCAAACCTGTTCCATAAGTTCCATAAGAATGATTCAAAGATTTTAAAAATGAAACGATTATTATTATTATAATGAGATGAAACGAGGAATTTCATTTTCTTCATATTTTTACTTGAGTTATAATTATTAAAATTATAAAGTAATGATTTATTGTTTGTTTGTTTGCATTGTCATTTTCTTACAGTACATATACAATTAAAATATAATAAATACATATATACTTAGACCAAAGAGTTGTAGAAATTTCTTATGTCAAGGGTAACTACTTTTTTTACGTCATAAGCAATTACCTATATCTTATGTACCAATGTCTGCTGGACGATATACAATTTTGTTAATAAAAACTTTAAATTAGTTAATACATTACTAATTTAATAATAATATTATTTTCTGAACTACGTAATTAATTCCCCATAAATTAATATTATTAATATTTTAAACCGGGATTGAAATGGCCCGACGGAGTTAAAGTCATGCAGAAATCATCAACCGGGAGTTAAGAACATGCGTAAATCAGGCCAAACATCATCATCGAAAATTTCACTCATAGATCGCCCTGCATTAAATCATTCCCGAAAATCCGACATCACTATGCTCTAATTGTTCTATCAATTAGCACTTGATTGTAATTCAGTATCAAGTTTTTTTACCTTTTAAAGGTTTCCTTAATGCTCTGTTTAATCCTTCCTTTCTCCTTTACTCCTATAAAAAAGCTACTCGACCCCTGGGTTTATGATAACCCCTTGCTTTAACTGATTTAGTCTTATTATAGAAAAAATTCGGTTTGAATGATAATCGCCCCAACGAATATATCATAAGATCATGACGTAAATTCACTTTACATTTCTAAAAATATATAAAAACGGAAGTAAGATTTTAAAATTAGCTCTGGCCAAATTTTTTTAACCGACTAGAATTACGCAGCCATTTTTTTAAAAACCCAATAAATGTAACAAAATATTTAGATCCTTTTTCTATTCTTAGATGTACGTAGCTAGGTAATGTGACGATTATGTCGATAATGACATATTAGTGACATATCTTTGGTTGTGACAACATTTGCTATATGCATTATTAAAACTATTTTATAACCCAGTTTATTTTTAATTATACCAATAAAAAAATATATATATCGCTTAGTATAAGTTATAAATTAATTTATTTTAAGTTTACAATATAAATTTATGTATTAATCTATATAATTGATATGATTATAAATATAATAAACTAAAATTACAAAAATTTGCACTTGTAAAATATAAATTTGTACAAATTTGTAAAGTATAAATTAATATAAATAATACAAATTTAGACGTCGAAACTGCGGCCTAAACTGCGGCCTTGCAGATTGTTTGTGTCAACATCAACTGACTGTTCCACTCTGGGTGGGAAAGGTTCTGATATTGTTATTTTAGACCTTCTAATAATAACTAAACTGTAAAATATTTAATTATTTTAATATATTAAATATAAATTCAATTAAATAATTTTAATATTTACTAATAGTGAAAATTTTAGTCATACAATTTATAAATTATATTTTATTAAATACAATTTAAATATAATTTATAATGGATAATAATTATAATACATTATAAAATTAAACTAAATATTATAAAATATCTTTAACTATTATGAAAAATGTGATTTTCTCTATAAATATTATAGTTATATTAGAATTCCAGATATCTAATATATTAAAGAATGGTTATGGAAACTATTGTTAAATTTAAAGCTCAAAATTAGCTACCTAAAAAAGTGAAAAATCAAAATATTAGTAAGATATTTAGTCTTATATATTTCATTGTAATATATACTAATCTTTATTAAAAAACATAGATATATAGACTTTTTTGAAATTCTTTAATAATCTATTAATTTTAAATTTCAGGATTTTAAGTTTGGATTTGGATGATAGGTAATAAATAAATTTCAAATTTTTAAAACTTTTATAATTTTTATTTAAAGAAACATTATATTGATATTTTTTTTTCTTTTTTAGATTTTAGGATTTCAGTTTAATTAAAATAACATTAATATCACCAGTCTATAAGAAGAAATAGTATAAAAGAAAGTAAAAAATATTGCAAAGACAATTTATTTAATAACTTAAATTTAACTGATTATATAATTATTGAAATTTACTATATCAATTTTCTTTAATTATTAAAAACTATTACATATTATTAATTTGATTGTTCATCTTTTATAAGTTTATTTCCATATTCTTTTTAAAAAGATTCTTTATATAATAAAAATAGAAATCATTTTTTTATTATGAAGATTTTTTGTTGAATATAAAAAAAAATAAAAAAATAAATATTAATAAAAAAAATTATAGAATAAATTATAAAAAAAATGAAAGTAGAAAAAGAAATTATAAAAGTAAAAAAATAATTTAAATAAAACAACTATATTTCAATTACTAATAATTTATATTAGAGATTGCAAAATTATATTTAACTATATTAAATTTAATAAAAAAGTAAAATATAATTTATATTATGCCCTTCTATTTTTCATTTTAATTAGTACTATTTATAATAAGTATATATAGAATGATAAAATGTTTTGGTATATTTTTATATATATTACTTTTTTATAAACAAATTTTAAATTTAAATTATTTATTATATTTTCTTAAAATAAAGTCATCTAAATTTTAAAAAATTTTAATAATACTCTATTTATTAATTATATAAAACATTATACTAAAATAGATAGAATTATATTTTACTGGTTATAAAAAAGATATTGAAAAATATAAAATTATAAAAATTCTGTAAATTCTCTATTACTATTAAAAAAAAATATATATTACTTTATTGAATAATATAAATAAATAAAAAATAGAAACAAACAGTAACAAAAAAATGTAAGTTGTATTTTATTATAAATTTATAATATTTATTTATTTATTTAAATATACTAAAATACTAATATATAATATTTTTCTCTATATGTAACAATTAAATAGTGCAACTGCGTTGATTGTGTTTTGATTTTGTTAAGAGTAATAAAATAAACGGTACAAAACTATTGATTGATACAAAAAATTACAAAATAAAAAAAGAAAAAACTGGCTCCCCAGCATTTTTTACAATAATTTATTATAAAGAGAAAAAGTAGGTCTCATAGTTATCTGATGTTAAAAATAGAGTCTTATGGCTAAGATGACCTGTTAAAAATGAAATTTACTTATAAAGTTAAACAATCATTTGACAGTATATACATAGAATACTTTACACATAAAAAGTGATTTATAGTTAATTATATTAGAGTAGTTTTTAAAATTATATTTTATATATATATTCTTTTATTTTTTACTTTAATAAAATTGCAAATGTGCTGCAATAAAAATAAAATTATAAAAAGAAAAAAAAAAGATAGCAAAAAGAATTTTAGTATATAGTAAATATTAAAAACCAGAAATTTATAGATTTATCACTGGTAAAAAAATGATTTATCCTACACATATCTTACACATATTGGGTACTCAAAATGTAGAAAATCATACACAAATAATACACATATCATACACATATCGGGTACTAATATATATATCATACATATATCACTGCAGTGTTGTACATGGGACATGTCCCACCAAAATTTTAATGTCCTGGACATTGTCCCGTCTATGTCCCGTCCACGTCCCGTCCAAAAATTGTCCAAGTTTACAATTTGTCTTATCAAGACAGTACCTAATGGGCTATAATTTATAATTAAGATCACGTGATTTTAATGTCCCAATGTCCCAGACATTGCTAAAATCTTTGGACGTGTCCTGGACTGTCCCGTCCCATCCCGTCCATGGACATGTCCCGTCCCTATGACAACACTGTATATCAGGTACCTGATAGGTATACTATATATATAAGTACCCGATATGTGTATTATTTGTGTATGATTTTCTACATTTTGAGTACCCGATATATGTAAGATATGTGTAGGATATGTGTAGGATAGACCATTTTTTTACCAGTGTATAACTTTTAATTTTATAAAATAATTGAGTTAAAAGCTTAGTAAAGATAATTATCAATAATTTGAATATTATTTAAATTTTTAAATTAAATACTAAAAAAATACAAGAAAAAAAATTAGAAATATTTACTTATTATATAATAAAATATAAAATATATATTTTATGTAAATGATAATAAGTAGTAAAGATTTAGTATAATAAATTAAATATATAAAACAAATAATAGTTTTATATTTTAGCAATTAAATTTATTTATTATCCTAAATAGGACCCCACTTACTTATAAGATAGGTTACTTCCAGATCTAAGGTAAAAATCATATATAAAATTCTTTGCAGATCCTACTATAAAAGGAAATTTTATGTTACATCATTATAATTTTTTTCCTTTTTAACTAATTAACCAATAGAATTTAAGAAAAAAATAAGGTAAAAACTATTAATAAAGGGCCAATTTTCTACGATGACCTTTATTATAAGTAAGTAGGGTCCTTCCTAAATATTGTATACATCCAATATTAAGCATCCTTCGAAAATAAGCATCCTCAACCAGAATTATGAAAATTTTAGTAGCTTATATTATGCTGTTCCTGGCCAGCATTACAGTCAAAAAAAAATGCTTAATTTTATATATACGGTAGATATTTATTTTTAATAGTTTTGGTAAAATATATGAAAAAAATTATTACATATAATTAAAATATATATAATAATTATAAATTATATTTATTATTAATTATTTATTAAATACCATATTTTATATTAATATTAAAAAATATTATAGATTTATTAAAAAAGGTATTGCTAAATATCACCAGTAGTGATTGTCACCACTAAGGTTGTCTACCTAAACCTCTCCAAAATTCTACGATTAGTTTCTCTAAGATTTTACTATAGTTTTATTATAGTTTCAGCAAGGTTTTAGCAGTTTTGGCATTTATAATAAGTTTTGTCAGGTTTCACTTTTCTCCAGAGTTTTGCCAACTTTTTAATAAGACTGCAACCTTAGTCACCACTATACTTTTCGTCAAAATGACAAAATACTAATTAAATTTATTTTGACAGACGTAATTAATTCATAGTAATTTTATAATAAATAGTGAATTGGTCCGTTCGCCGAAATACAACGTAATTAATTAGCGGAGAAGTATAGTCACCACATCACTTAATTCTGGCTGAAAATTATAATTTTAGCCAGAGTTAAAAAACACATTGTAAATTTTTTTTCAAAAATTTCAATTTAAATAATAAATGTGTAAAACAAACCTGAGTAGATACTAATCACACTAAAATTTTGAAAATTTGACTAAAAAAATCTTTTTTAAAACAAAAAATTGTATATAAATCAAACTTTCCTATTTTTCTCAAAAATTATCTAAACAACAGCCTTTATAATCTAAGGCAAACTTACTTGTTCTACCCATAAATTTACATATAATAATGATATTTATATTATAATTAGAATAATATCTCAGTCAAAAATTTTTATATTTTACATGTGGTAACGATTACTACTGGTGATATTTAGCAATATCCTATTAAAAAATATTTAAATAGTATACTACTAATATTTTATTATATTTATTATATGATTATCTAATATAAATCTAATATGACCAAATTTTATATTAAAAATCTTTAATTTATATTAATAATTGGTTAAAATTATATAAATCTATCAGATTTGATATTAAATAATAGAATTATTAGATATAAAAAATTTACCTAATTTTTTTTTATCTAACTATTAATATTTATATATGGTGCCAGAACTCTATACTCAAAAATAAAATTGTGATATTTATAAATCTTTTAACACTTTAATAAAATAGAATTTCAAAGAAATAAACTGGTAACTTTGTTCTATAAGACAAGTACTATTAAATTACCAGTCAGATTTTTTAAAAAATATCTACATAAAAAGTTATAAGCATTTGAAATTTGATTATTTTTATATGATTGCCCTTTTGAAACAAAAAAGTCACATAAATGCATTTATTTTATAAGAATTTACATAATTCGTATTGACATTTAATTACTATTTTAAGGCTTAAAATGGCTTAAAACGTTTTTAATTTACCCTAAATTCAACCTTACATTGGCTTGATTTTTTTTTAAATAAATACTACTTTCTGCTTTATTCTTTAGGCAATTTCCTTTTTTGTATATACAGATATGCTCGTATCCATTTGTTCTATTTTTGTCTAAAATTGTAAGTTTTTATTAGCTATTGTACTTCTTACGTGATAAATTAAACATTTGAAACATTTTTGAGTATAAAGTTCTGGCACCATATAAATTATATTTAAATATAATTTAAATCTCCTATTAAATTTTAAAAAAAAATATAATATGATAATCTTCTTTATAGAAAATGTATTATTATATATTACTTTACAATAAATTACTGAATTTCTTTAAAAATATATAGTAATTTTCATATTATATAAAAATTTATAAATTTCCAATAAAACATATGAATTTTTTTTATTTGAAAGTTAATTCATTATAGATTTTATATTTTAAATAAAATTTAAAATATAAAATAAAAGGGTTTAAATTTTATATACAGATATGTTGCAACTTGCAAAGTATCCTTTATAATATCTTATATATAGTGCTGGAACTCTATATTCAAAAATAAAATTGTGATACTTATAAATCTTTCAACATTTTAATAAAATAGAATTTCAAAGAAATAAACGGGTAACTTTGTTCTATAAGACAAGTACTATTAAATTACTGGTTAGATTTTCAAAAAAATATCTACATAAAAAGTTATAAGCATTTGAAATTTGATTATTTTTATATGATTGCCCTAAATTTGAAACAAAAAAGTCACATAAATGCATTTATTTTATAAGAATTTACATAATTCGTATTGACATTTAATTATTTTAAGGCTTAAAATAGCTTAAAATGTTCTTAATTTACTTAAAAGCCTAAAGACCCTAAATTCAACCTCACATTGGCTATTAAAAACACTATTTTAAACCATACTTTAGTCTTTAAGTAAAGTTATAGAGCAAGCAAAAATATGCATAATACATATTTTTTAAAAGCTCTATAATATATATATAAAGTTTATGTGGCATTTATTCAAATCAGAAAAATTAACAATATCACATAATAAATAATGATCAATATATTAACTATAAAAAAATTACCAAAAAAAAGAATATGTTATCTACTTATATAAAAATATTTTTCAAAAAAAAAATTATTTAATTATAAATTATAGCAACTTTTTAAACTATTTTTATATTTATTATTTGTATATAAATAACTTAAATTTTCTAATATATAATATTCTTTAATTGCATTTTTAAAAACTACAATTGATTAGCTTTTAAATAAAAAAAATTTATTACAAAATAATAAAAATTGATAGTTTAATATATATTTTAAAAATACCAATTTTATTGCAATTTATAAATTTAAAAAATATATAGTAAAACATAATAAAATCAGCATTTTTTTAGATATATAAAAGTCTGTCAATTTTCATCAAATTGTAATGAATTTTTTTTTTATTTGAAAGCTAATCAATTGTAATTTTTAAAAAATATAATTTAAAAATATTTTACATTTGAAATTTTAAGAGTTGTTTACATGTAAATAAACATACAAAAAATTGTCATCATTTATAATCAGATAATTTTTTTTTATACTTTAAAATATTTCTTTTTGTTTAAAATATAAAATTTATAATGGATTAGTTTTCAAATAAAAAAAAATTTGGGTGATTATATTGAAAATTTAAAAACTTTTATTATAAAAATTACTAACTGCTAAGTATTTTTAAGAAATCTGGTAATTTATTATAGGCCAATGTATATACCAAAATAAATATTTATATCTTTATTGAACTTTACAATTTATAACTATTATTAGATATTTTGAAATTGTAATTTCAAGTTATAAATTTTTTATTACATTTTTATTTAAAGTAATTCAAATTACATATTAGTATATAAGTGCAATTTAGAATTTACACATAATTTTTAAAGGAACAGCATATTTATAATTTGTACAATTAATTAAATATCAAGATTTCTAACAAATTTCATTTGGTAATAAATTAATTAAATATAATACAAGATATAATGATAAATAATGCCATGTATTATGGTTAAATATAAATCTAGTAATTTTTTAAGAGCATAATTTAATTCTACAAATGGTTATTAGTAAACTTTAAACCATTCAATCCATTCCTTTTACAGGAATTACTAGGTTTATTCAGTTGATGTTTTTAAGATTAATTTTTATATTTATATATATAATACATGTTAGTAAAAAGATGTATAATAGATGTTGAAATAATGTATACAGGAGTGAAACCAAATGATATAACTCGACTTATATAAAAACCCTATTAAATAAAAAATAAAATTTAATGTTTGATTTAATAAAATAAAAATTAATGTAAAATAATTTACGTGCCTGAAGAAATATTGTAGGAATATCTTCAATGAAAACATTAGTGACATCTCCCCAAAATAAATCATCTTTTGCTGCATAAGATAATTTAGCATTAAAATTAATGTCAATATTTCGAGTACTAAGATTTTTAATTCTAATTCGTAACTTTGATCCAAGCAATTCTAAATGTGTAACATCAACTCCTGCTAGTATCATGAATATTATTATAATTGTTTTATTATCTTTATAATCTCTTAACCATTTTGAAAAATTTCGATATTTCTTTTCCAGCTGAACTTTTTCTTCATCTTTTATATCCTCTTCCTTTATACTATCATCATTTTTTATAACAATTTCTTTTATATGTCCTGCTGTAAATTCTGCATGATTGTTAAGTTCTTTTATTTCTTCTTTAAGCTCATTAATGTTAATTATTTGTAATTCTTTTTTAAAGTTGTTAAGGTTTTCTAATTCATTTATCAGTTCTTTTTCTTCTAATCCTTTCATAAGAACTTCAACTTTAAATAATTGCTCTTTAAGTTTTTCACTTTCTTTTAATTCTTCAATAAGCTCTTTAATTTTATTTAATTCTTTTGCAAATTCTCTGCCAATTTCTTCATTATCTTCTTCCAATTCTATTTCGTTATCATTAACTTTTTTCAATTCATCTATTATTTTATTAAGTTCATCTAAATGTTTAATAATTTTTAATTCTTCTGTAGAATCTTCAACTTGTATTAATTCTTCTATAAGATTGTTAATTTTTTTCAATTTTTCCACAATAATTTTTACTTCCCTTTTATCTGAGTTCTCTAATGTTTCTATAAGTTCATTAACAATTTCTAATTCTTTCGTGAGATCACAGACTTCCTTTAATTCTCCTTTAATTCTTGTTAACTCTTTTCTGACTATTACTGCTTCTTTCGTAAGTTTGTTAACATTTTTTATATGATTAATTTTATTTATTATCTCATTTGTATTGTTGTCTTTTTCTGACTCTTTTTCTACTATAGAATCGTTGCCTTCTTTTAGTAAGTCATCTTTAAGTTCTTTAAATTCTTTTAATAATATTTGAAAATCATTTCTCTTAAGTTCATCAATTATAATTTTATATGCAAATCTTAAGTTTACAATAAATGGAAATATTACAAAGAAAATACTACAAGTTAGAGGGAAAGAATAAATCAATATTTGAAAATAATAATTTATTTGTTTTTACTTAATTTAGTTTTTTTTTACCTTATAATAAAAATATTTTCAACAATTGGTGCATCTACAATAATAAAGAAGATTACTGCCACAAACTTTTCAATAGCATTTCCACATGTGTAAATTGCAAACATTTTTCTCTAAAAAGAAAAATATTTTTTTTTTCATTTTTTGTCAGTATTGTCAGCATTCAATTAAAAAATTTAATAATAATTTTAATAATATTAAATGTAATTTTACCAAATAAGAAATTAACAACAATAAGGCATTTAATGCAATTGTTCCAAGAAGGCTACCCAAATTTTCATCTATCCACCTTTCTATTTTATAAAATTATAATAATAAGATTAAAAAAAAAATTAAATATACTTGAGATAAAATCCTTCACCTAGTAAAAAATAAGAAAAAAATTGGATTCTTACGTATAGTTATATATGTTACATATCCATATTTATCATCCAAATATATTGAATATTTCCCAGAGCCAATAACAGTAATAATTTTATACTTTATTAAAGTATCTAAATCATCAACAAGATTAACTGGCATATCAGTTTTCTTCTTAGCTTTTTTAATATTAATATATAAAATATATCGTTCAGGTAAAACTGAAGTATCAATTTTATATTCTCCATTGTTAGTTATTCGTTCTGGACCAACAGGGATTGCTTTGGCCAATTCTTGTGTTAAATTATCAAAAAATTCTCTAACTTTAATTTTGTCATGTTTAAAGCTTTTGAAGTAACTGGTTCCCATCTCTGTCAATCGAACTTTTCCATCAATGCTAGATGAGTAAACTTTTTTTTCATACACATCTTTAATGCTTCCTGAATTACTAACTATTATGAAGAAAAAAAAGAATTATATTTTATGCATATGTAACAATATTTCATTTAAAATAAGAGAAATATATAAAGTACTTACTTGTCATAAAATTCCAAGCAGTAATTTGTATGCCAATGATAGGCTCTTGAAGTACTTTACTCTTTACAAAACCGTCATCAATTAAAATATAATACATTGTATTAGGCTGATTAAAAGTACTATCAATCACTGAGATTCCAATAGTATAATCATCAATAAATCTTACAAAATCTCCGCTTGCAGAAGTAACTTGACGTATAATACCATGTTCAGAACCATCATCTTGTAGAATTGTAACATTACGATTAGGTGATAAATCAACTTTATCATAAAATTTAATTATAAGGAATTTAATTTCAGATGGATTTATAATATCATTAATTTTCGGAGTTGTGCTGAAGATATGTAAATTTCCATAACCATGATCTAAAAAGTTTAGTGAAGGTTAAAAAAAATTTATATACGCATATATTTTTGTTTGTTTGTATCACCTTACCACGTGCACCCTCGATCTTGTACAAATCAGTGGTGATTAAACTCCAAGTTTGTTCAAATTCCGGTTGAGGAATTACGAGTGTATTATTTGATAAAACTAAAACATCCCCATTAAAATTTGTTGTAGTAGGATATGGTATAGTCCAATTATAAAGATTACCATAGTCATCCATAATATAACCATAAAGATTAAGTTTAGTTTTATCATTTATATTTAGTTCTGTGCTAAATAAGAAATAACCTCCATAACGTAATGACTTCATACCAAAATCTTTAACGTTAAGATTAGAAGTGTATTGAAAAGTTGTAATATTATATACACTTCCCTTTGAAAGAAAATCAATTTTAACAAACGTGTTTTGAACTGTTGCTGGTTCAGTATTTAAAACTAGTATACAAGTTTGACCAAATCCTACTCTAGTAACATCACAAGAAAGAAAAATAACTTTTGATAATGGACTTTGAATTTGATAAAGAATAAATGGTACTTGCACTTCTGGATTTCCATTTTCTAAAAAAATGCCACATATTCGCGTATCATTAGGATAAATAATCGCGTATCCGTCTGTTGTTGCAAAATTTGCAAAATTTTCAATTGGGGTCGTCGTATAATTCATGTACGTTTCTGCAATAAGTTGAACTTCACCATTTTCATTTCTTATAAAATAAAAATAATATATATATTAAATCATACATTTAAAATAATTTTTCGTAAATTAAAATTTAATACTTACATTTTGTATTGATTCAGCAATATTGAAGTAGTATTCGTTATAGGTGCCACACGGATAAATCCGTTATCACGATGAACATTTAATGTAATAGAATCTTGAGCGGGCAACCATTCGTTAGTAGTAGTATTAACAAAGGATGCACCTAAATTAATTATACTAAAAATTTTTCCATCTAAATCGATAACCATTCCCCAATCTTCATAAGTATAAGGATTATTTACATCTAAAGCTACCACATAAGTTATAAATAAAAGAGTATTGGTTTTTATAGCGTAAAATCTAAGAGGGCTTTGATTTTGATAAAGGCAAAAATTGAAAGATTGTATATTTAACGTATCCGATGGAATATCAAATCCTTTAATTGTTCCATTGGGATAAATAACACGAATTGATAAGTTTTCCTCTAAACAAATTTTAAGTGGGGTAGTATCGTTTACACGAATAATTTGAACGACTATCGTGCCATCATCATAAAAATCTGTATTTAACACGCGAGGTGTTGAAGGGGTTTCGGGTTGTGGTTCTTCATATATAATGGATGATTTTACTGGCAATATTGTCAATAAAATAATTAATAAAAGAAAACCAAAATATAACCTCATTTTGGAAAAAAGTTGATTTTTAGGATTTAGCAAAAAAAGTGTACGCAGTACGGATTTTTTTAAATGAAACAAAATTCTAAATGTATATTTGATGAATAATATCTATTATCAATGAGAATCCGGAACAATCAATATTAAATATAACAATATTTTTAAATTTATATTCTTAAATAATATAAAGAATAGTATTTATCTTATATCGAGTATATATTACAATATATAGAACTTATTATAGTGGATAAAAATGGTTAAAACAGGTATTGTATCATTAGGCTTAAATTCAATGAATATGTATTTATTTATTTATAATCGTTTGTTATTTAAACTTTCGAATTTATCAATTACATTTTGTGTATGCATTTCTTCTTTTGGAAGGTGGTTGACTAATTGGATTTAGCGTTGCGGCGATCAACATACAATGGATCATAGTTACCATGCTCAAATGTTTTCGTCTTATAATACAGTATATACTTTAAATATTCTGCTTTTATAAAATAAAATAGTATTTTAATGTGTTGTTTCAATCATTTTAGTATTTTTATTTCGTATTTTATAAAATTTGCATCATCTAAGCCTCTAAGGTGTTTATACAGACTACTGATTTACATTAATTTTTACAACAGAAAAATAAATTAAAAATTTTTTTTTACGCCACATCATTTACGTCCATCATTGAAACAATGCCTAATGTCTGTCTTATTTTTAGTTAATACAATGAAGCACGCTGAGTCGGTGAGACTGCCAAAACTGCCTGCATTTTTAGATCGATGATCATTTCTCGATTAACTATTCACAATAAATTTTTTTTTTGTGCAGAGAAAATTGGATAAACCTGTTGTAACCAGGTTAATGATGAAATTTAACTTAAATAAAATCGTTCTAAAAATGTTGGTCATTAGATTAACTCTTTTTCTTAATAAAAAATTCATTACTGTAAAATGAGCCAAATAGACGACGAAATTTACGTGGAAATCGATGATAAAATCGATAACAATAACGATATTCATTATAAAATTGATATTGATAACGATATTAATAAACCACATAACGGTAAACTCGTTACAAAGATAGAAGTATCGCCAAATGAAAAATATCTCGTTACTTATAGTAAAGATGATCATTCAATTGTCGGTTGGAATATTGAAAGTAAAGATAAGAGTCAACTTAAATTAGATAAAACATTTAAATTAAGCGATATGATCTTACTCCAAATGTGTGTTTCCGATAATAAGAAACTCGCGTATATCAATGAGAATAAATATTTAGGTAAGTTATAAATTATCAATAATTTAAATGAATTTGATATCTAACTACGGTAATTAATATTTATTTATTAGAAATATATGATATGAAGAAGAATCAAAAAATTAAATTAGATTGTGATCCTCGTTTTTCCCATTATTATTATTGTACTTTTAACTTAAATGGTGAATTCATTTTATACGGAAGATTTGATAGAATTATTTTTATTTATTCCACGAGAACTAAAAATAATAAATGGAATTGTAAAAGAATGTATAAGAAACAAAATAATTTTAAATTTATTAGTATATCAAAATATAATAAGCTTTATTCATTTTCAAATAATTCCATTTATGAATATAACCTTATTACTGAAAAAAGTAAAAAAATATTTGGTAGTAACGAGAAAATAACCAATAAGGTAATATGATGTATTAAATTATTTAATTATTTGATTGAAATTAATTATTATTTATTTATTTTACAGAATATCAGAATTTCCAGTAATGAGAAGTTTATTTGTATAAGAATCATTAATAAACTTATTATTTATTCAATCGAATTAGAAATTCCTATTGCTTCTTGGGATATCAATAATGGTAATTATAAAAAGTTAAATATTATTAAACTTTATTATTATTTCATACTAAGTTATTATTTAACATTAGATACTCAACTACATAATTTTGTGTATCGTGCTGGTTTAATTCCTTTATTACTTCCTTTATTAAATGATAGTACTATTATGGAACATTATTGGAATGAATGTTTGGATTGGTTAAGAGGCAAAGGCCAATTATCAAATGAATATCAGACCGAAAGTTTATCAGATATCATTCGAACTACAACCAAATATGTATTTGGAATTCTAGATGGGCATATTTGGAAGATTAAATTTGAGGAAATATTATCAAAAATGAATTTAACATTTGAAAATACCGATGAAAATATTGAAAACTGGTACTTTGATAATGATTTTAAGATCAGTAATGAAATACATAAAACATACGATCACTTAAATATTCACTTAATTAAACCAAGTATGGGTATGGATACTATATATGCATTATTTCAAAAAGTAAAACCACATTCTAAGAATAAAAAAGAACTAGAATCAAGTCAAAATTTAATCAAGTGGGAAATTAGTACTATAGATACATATAAAATTAGACTCCAAGTTTTTAAAAAAATAAATGTTAATAATCAATGGAATGAAGAGGATTTAATTTGTACAAGAGTTGAAAATGTTAATGAATCTTATTCTATAAATTTACTTGGAATAAAGTTACTTGATGACAGTGATATTATTATATTAACATCAATAGGTCTTTTTATTTATCATTTTAATGAAAATAACAAATCTATTTCTTTAAATTATTATTATTATATGAATATTGATAGATACTCTAGTAACGTTGCAAAAAAATTAAAAAATTATAAACAAGTATTTTCAAAATCTACTTTACCCTTACCAAATTATGATAGTTTTAAATGTTATGACGGATGGAGTTTATATGTAAAAGATAATAAGGAAAGTCTTTTGAAATATGGTGTTGAATTACTAACATTTGGAATTAAAGAACATAACTTAGAATTGATAGAAGATATCTATAAAACGTGTATAAAATATTTCAATGAAGATTTAAGAAATAATAGAATGTATTTAAGTATTATTACTTCTACAATGCCATTATTAAGTGAATATTATCCAGAGTATATTTCAAGATATTCATTGGAAACAACTATGATTATTGATCCTTCTTTTTATAGTATAAAATATGAAAATATTAATTTACATCTCTATTCTTTTCAATATCATCAAATGGTTAATTTAACTCGATCTATTTGGTGGTTAAAATACAATACGTTAATGGAGAAATTAAGAGATAATTATAATATAATATATTGGATGATAAATATAATTCAAATTTTAATAATTTTATCTATTTTACCCATTTATTTTATTACATTTTATATATTTTCAAAATTTCATTTTATTAATAATATCGAAGAATATGATATGTTTTCTATTTATTTTAAAATTACTAAGATTTTTAATATAATTTTTTTAAAGATTTTTAAACATACAACAACACCAACAATTACTTTTATGAATCCTTATATTAAATTTATTAATTATCCACAAGACTATAATTGGTTTTTAGAATTAATTATACCTCAATCTAGTCCATATGTTAAAACAATAAATAGAGATATTTATAAAACATGGAATGGAGAAACATTAATTGATTTTAAATGGAATACTTATGGAAAATATTATTATATAATAATATGGATTGGATTTATATTTTTACTTGGATGTTTTACTGCTGCTGCAACAATTCCTCAACAATTTATTAATGATGATATTCAACAACAACTTTTAATTATTTCAATTGTACTTGGATTTATTCATCTGAATTTTGAAATTCGTCAGTTTATTTATAATCCTATTAAATGGATCCATAATTTTTGGAATATATTTGGTAATATATATAAATATTTTTAATTATTTTATATAATTATACAAAAATTTATTAATTATATTATTATTATTATTATTATAGATTTAATTGCATTTACACTTCCAATTTATACTTCTATTTATTGGCTTCAAACAAATGATAAAAATAATATTATTCAGTTACTTTCTTTTTCATGCTTATTTTTAGATATAAAGTTTTTATTATTTTTTAGAGTATTTGAATCTTTTGGTATATATTTTGCAATTATAATTAGTGTTGGAAAAAAAGTTTCTTCTTTTCTAGTAGTTTTATTTATAATTATAATCAGTTTTGCACATACATTTTTCATATTATTATCACCAGCAAACCCTAATTTTTCTTTTAAAGAATATACAAATAATAGTGATGATTTAAATAATCCTTGGAATATAGTTCCTACTTATCATCAAGTATTTGAAAATGGAACTATAGATTTAAATTCATCTATTATTCAACAACCTGATGAAAATACAAATATGTTTGTAGATTTTGGTACTTCTTTATTTGCAATGTATTTATTTTTAACAGGTAAACAAAAAATTTATTTCTAATATATATTTTACATATATTTACAAGTAATTTAATAAAATAATATTTTATTATTATAGGGGATTCAAATGCATTATCCAATTGGACATATAAAGATAAACCATCACTTGTAATACTAATTGTTTTATTTTCATTATGTATTGTTGTATATCTTATGAATTTATTTATTGGATTACTTAGTAATGCAATTGAAAAAGATAATAATAGAATCTCATTTTTAATACAAAAAGCAGAGGTATATTATTAGTTATTATTATTTAATTTAATTATAATTATAAAAATACTAAAATTTTTTAATTTTTTTTTTAAAGATTCTTGCTGAAATTGAATTATTTTACTTATTACCACATCAAAGACGTTGGAAAGAATGGTTTCCTGAAGTAATGTAAGTAATTTTAAAAGTTTTTTTTTAAAAAAAAATATTTATATTTAATTTTTATATTATTTTATTTTTTAAGTTATTATTATGCTAATGTTGATAAAACTCGAGAAAAAATTAAAGAAATGATTAATGAAGGAGAATGGAATACAAATGAATTTTCAGAATTAAAGCAAAAATTATTGAAAGAACTTAATATTCAATATGATTTTCCTAATCTTGTCAATAAATAATATAAGAATATATATAATTTTATATTTAAAATCCATTAATTAATTTTACATTTAAAGTATTTTATATAATATTTTTAATTATATAAGGCCAAAGAAATAAAATTATTCATTTCTTATGAAAAAAATTGCTATATTTAACCCGATTGCCCAGAAAAAAATTTTATTTTTCAAAAAAAATTTAGTTGATTCCTAGAAGATGATTGGTTGATTTAATAAATTTTTTGTCTGGATCATCAGATGGAAAAAAAAAATATTTTTTAAAACTAAAATTACATAACTAAATAAAATAAATTTTTTTATCTTTTTGTAATATTTACATGATCTGTCCAGTCATGAAAAATGAATAATTTTATTTACTTGGATATGTAATACTATTTTATTACATTATGATAATATGTAAAATATAATGATTATAATGATTAGAATGAACTCTTTCTGCTAAACGTCTGGACCATATTTTTTCGATAACAAAAATTTTATTTTTTATTTTTTCTTTACTTCGCTTATAGTTAATACACTTTTATTTTATTTCATATACTTCAAGTAAATACTTGACAGCAAAAAACCCATCGTGGTTTATTTTAGTATTAGAAATTTTCTTTTGTTTTTTTTATTTTTTCCTATTCTTTACACTTTTTCCTCTCTTTGTGGTGTTCTTGGACTAAAGACGGTCTGGAGAGGCGTATCGCCCAGAATAAGCAAGCTTGGGACAACAGCAAAATGTGGACAGTTTTAAGCTACCTTTTTTAAGTGGAATAACGAAACTTTGGACATGGAAAGAGTGACTAACGAACTCCTTACACTAGTCGAAAAAGGAATATTCAGCCTTAATACAATTCGGCCTATATTCGACTAAAATTAAAAAATTTGACTTCAATTAGTAATGATCTACGATTAGACATATATTCAACCTTATTGAATAAACGTTACGCATTACACGTTATGCGTATTAAAAGTTTAAAAAAGGATCATCTTATTGCATTCTTTTTTAAACTTTTTTTAATTTTCTTTCTTCCCCTTCCCCTTTCCCTTCGTTCCTCTTTCCCTCCTTTTACTTCCCTTCGTCCCTTTACTTTTCTTATCCTTTCCCCTTTCCCCTTTCCCTTCGTCCCTCAGTTTTTTTTCTTTTGTAGGTCCAAGACGCCTATTTAGAAGGCTGGACTCCTATTTCGAAGGTATATATATACCTTCAAATTTTATTTTGTTGTTTTTTAACAAAACGTTTTACTAACGTTTTCGTTTTTTGCTTTTGTAGATCCAAGACGTGACTGAGATTCGTAAGTATTATTACAAATAGTGGATTTTTTTTAATATTATAGAACGGTTTACCAGCTGTTCTTGTTTTTTTATAGGTTTCAAGAGGAAGTGAAAACGAAAGGGGAAGAGAAAACGAGAGGGAAAGCGAAAAATGAAAGGGGAAGCGAAAAAATGAAAGGGAAGCTAAAAACGAAAAGGGAAGCGAAAAAATGAAAGGGAAGCTAAAAACGAAAGGGGAAGCTAAAAATGAAAGGGATAGGGTAAAACGAAAGGAAAAGGAAAATGGAAAAGAAAGGGAAAACGAAAGGGTAAAACGAAAGGGGAAAACGAAAGGGTGAAACGAAAGGGGAAAACGAAAGGGGAAAACGAAAGGGAAAACGAAAGGGGAAGGGTAAAACGAAAGGAAATGGATTTCTGAAAGAGTATTTTAAGATTCGTAAGTATTGTATTACGAATCAAATATTTTTTTTTTTTTTTTTTTTTTTTT